GGCATGCGTGTGAACGCATCGAAAACGAAAAGCCTAGTGCTTTCTCGTTCTCCTGCCCGTTGCTCTCTTCGGAGTAACAGAAAGGCAGTGGACAGGTGGAGGAGTTAGATACTTCGGATTCGTGCCTGTTAAAGATGGAAAATTTGAGGAAGAGATCAACCGGCGAATTCGAATAGCCAGTGGCGTTTTGTGGGAAGTAACTAGATCCATTGTGATGACTAAGGCAGAGCTTAGTCTGAAAACTAAGCTCTTGGTGTTCAAGTCGATGTTTAACTCCATGCTTACCTGTGTCGTAAGTCGTGGACCATGACTGAAAAGGTTCGAACCAAGGTAGAAGGAGCTGAAATAGACTTTCTTAGATGAGTCGCGGGCCTTAGGCGTCTCGAGTTGGTTAGGAACACTGACATCCGATAGACCGCTGGTATACAGTCTTTGCTTCTCCAGATTGAGAAGTCGCAGCTGCAACGGTTTGGCCACGTGTTGCGAATACCTCCTAAAAGGAAGGTTAAGCAACAGTTCCTTGAGAAACCGACCTTCAGAAGGCCCACGGGACGGCCAAGATTCACCTGGTGCAAATATATGGAAGGAGTCTGCTCAGACTCCAGTTGTCTTTTGCCGAAGCTCAGACTCTGCAACAGGATCGGGAACGTTGGGAGGTCTGTCTGACTCGTCTGCCTCGGCAATCCGAAAGGTGAAGCGGCCGTGAAGATGATGATGATTACTGGGCTTGCTCAGCGTTAGTTCAATGCCACATTCTTTTAAATGACTGGGGTGACAATCTAAACAAGTCATGGCTGCATGCATACTATTGTTGGCTGTTAAAGTAGTAGGTGCTTAAAATCACTTTTGTGAGCCACACCCTTGACGCTGTCTTTTATTTCCGTCAGGCTTAAGAAATCAGTGGAACTGTAAACTTACGTCCATGGCTCATTAAAAGAAATTTGAATCTACCTATTGCCTGTGCATTCTGTCACTGCTTTAAAATATGAAATGTCGTACGCAGTACCGTTGAAAGGGTTCCATACGTACCGCTAGCATTTCGTAGTCTCTCATAATGGTTCTGTGATGGGCAGTCTCAGCATTAGCCGAATTGTCGATCTTAAAATATAACTACTGTACATATTTTTGGCACCTCCAGTCATAAGATTAGACGATTTCCTACTGATGGTAGTGCTCTGGCTTTCGGTTACCCGCTTCAATCTGACTTTTGCTCTTGTACCATTTAATGTAATGCAAAGTTGCAAAGTACAGTGTAAAACAAGGCAAAGCGGACACTATGAAAGCGTAAGCTTTAGCGATGGATTAGCTGCGCAGCAGAATCTTTAGTGAGCGATCAGCTATGCCAAAGCTGTCGAGCATTTGATGACTGCTGGAAATTTCAAATATGAACTTGTCAGTGAAGGAAGCAGGAGAGTCATGATGGGCGTGTTTTATTTGTGCACTTATCATGATTGCCACAGTGCTCTTTGTTTGAAACTTCAACACCAAAAGGCCTCGACTCAGCAAGATCAACAGGATAAAAATGCCAAGAATCAGTAAAGACAAACAAATGGTCACACGATGGCCAAGTTGCAATTTCGAGTTTCGACACACCTTTCACGACGATCGTATGGGCGTCTCTTTCACCACAAAGAAACAAAAAAACTGAATGGTTTGAGATGACAAACCGCGTTCAAGAATACTACATTACATCCACAGGTACTGTTTTATTACGTTGCGTGGAACGAATATTGAACACACATACAGTTCACGGTGCTCGTTTAAA